CAGTAGCCAAGCAAATTAAGTGTTTTCCTTGAGTTCTTTGTCGTCACCACACTGTCCTTGCAATGATTGCTACCCTGATAAGCTCTCAGTAAGTCCTCCCTAATCACTTATGACATTGATGCTGTGCCTACAGCTCTTTGTGCTGACATTATTAAATACGTATTTTTAAAAAGACTGTATTTGACTCTTCACTCATGGATGATGATTGCACATCCTGAAATGCCTCATTTCCATCTTTAAATTTGAAGCACCAAATAAAGTTATATTAAGTGTTTTCCTTGAGGAACTTTTCTATAKCCTTCTTAAAAAATTGCTTTTAGTCCCAGCCAAAAAAAAATGTATATCTCAAAGACTACCCAGAGGGGTACAAAGAGGTTTTTAGATCATGGGGAAAGTAGTATGACATTATTCCTACATATGGGACTGATGAGTCTCAAAAATGACTACAAAGTTACCTCAAGAACCAATGATGGAGAGAAATTTCTTTAAGCAGTTCCTTTAAGCGGTGGTTAGGCAAGCGTTACACAAGGCTGGTGATTCAAATATAATACACTAACAATAAATATTCCCCTTTTCCCATCTCCTAAGCCATCTTTCAAACCCCTTCAGAGCTATGTTTGCACCACAACATGTGGCATAGCTTCATAAAATTCAAGAGATGAGTGGCAGACTTTAGATCATCAGTATTGTTTCCAAAGTTGAAAGGATAAAATGGAACAAAACCCAAAATAATCTCATGTGACCTTTTATTTACCCATGAGTTCAACTTGCCAAACACATGTAGAAAGCAGAAGAATACTTCCAAAATACAGGACATAAATGAAGACTGAATTCTTTTAAATCTTGTCCCTTCATTTGGAAATATCTATTAAAGCCTTTTCACTAGCACCAACAAGATAATTATCATAAGTTGAGCTATCTCCCTTCCTCCCCCCTTTTCTTCTTTCAGCACTGGCATACAAACCATGCTATTTTAACTTCTTTCCTGTTCTCCCAGTTCTTCTGGAACATTTTATTTTCAACAGTCAACTCATTTGGAGAAGTGCCATGCTGAAGTTCAACCGTTTACAATGTTAACTGTGTCTCTGCCAGCAGATGAAGACTTGCATCATACCACCTTCTCCAGCACCTCTTTGACTAAGGAATTTGAGTTCCTCTCTCCAAGAGGTTAGAGGATATTTGAGCAGCCTTCTTTCTTATCATACTTCTTCAGAATTACTCTCACTCACTGAAGAGTGAGGTGGGAGTTCTCCTTATTCCCTCCTCAATTAACACTTTGTAGACTCTTCCTGAAGACCTATGGTTTCATATTATACCTTACTAAGCACCTGAAAAATTTCCATTAGAAAACATTTCATAAAGAGGCTGCTTGATTATTTATTACTCTAGAAGACAGGAACTCTTTGAAAAGACAGAAAGCATTTAGATTGATGAAGCTAAACATTCTTACTGAGGACAATAATTAGAAGTTCATAGTTGATCRTATCTTTTAAGTGTATCTTTTAAGATTAAGCAAATCATACAATTCTGCCACTTGCAGTAGACTGTTTTCATCTGGAGCATCAAGTTCACAAAATACATGAGTTCAGTTCAAAATAGAGAAATCCCCATGAAAAGAGTATTTGTATCAACTTCTATTATAATGCAAGGAACTACAACAGAAAGTCAAAAGGAACAAAGTAAGAAAAAAGACACAAATATATACAGGTCTTCATAGACCTTTCCTGATCCTGCAGAGGATTTACTTCTACCAGTACCTCAGTCACTCTTCAGGATTCTGGGGGGAGATGGGGCAGGASGGAGGGGCCTGGGTTTTTTTGTTTGTTTTTCCACTTCTCATCCCAGGGTTTGGTTAGCAGTAGCTTCATATTAGAGCACAGTTAGTTAATGAATACTACATACCTACTTAACAATTTCACAGATATGAGTCCTTTTCCAGGGTGTCATACTACAAAGCAGTGCTCTTCTGCTCAATTTGAGAAATTATCMACAACACGAAGAGAAAACATTACAGTCAACCACAGTAAACCTTAATTTATGTTGTAACTCTACACATTGTTTGTAAATAATCCAAAAACCAKGATAGGAAAACCTCTTTTGCACTTGTTAAAGGCAATTCCAAACTTCAAGAGGCATCTTTACACTTTCGTGAAGTAACCTTCCTCAAATTGAAGTTGTTCTATTATAAGACACTAGTTCTTCCCATTTCCTTTCTAAAGCTAAAATTAAATTCGTCCATTCCTTAGGGCCCAGAGTAACATCTGCCAGATGTCCAAACATCTACACAGAGCACAATTCTCCTCCAACACTTACCAATTCATTTTTTAATCACTTRTGTCTTCAAAAAAGAATCAATTTTCCTTTAAGTCAAAATCCACAAGGCTATGAAATTTGGTTTTAACTTGACCAAATCAAAATGATCATCTTTTTTTCCCCACTTCTTCTTGCAGTTTCTTGTTTCCATACCCAGCATCCAATTTTGTGCTTATATTCTTCTAAGTTTGAGTGTACACATCATATTTCTTAGTTTTCCTCATGTAACAAAATAATTTTGAAAATCGATGAAAAAATTTCTAAATGTGACTTTTTAAAAGCTGTACTTCTGAAAAATACAATGCATTATGAAACTAATAAAAGCACATGAGTAAACCAATTCCTGGTTTAATATATTTTTTTAGGTTGTGGTGTGTAGACTATTTTTTTTTTTTTTTTTTTTTTTGAGAGAGAGAGAGAGAGTAATTATGTTGAAGAATAAGCTATGAATATGAAGCTTCTTGAAGAGCTTGCACCATCAAAATTTTCTGGGTGCTAGCAAATCCAAAGGAATGAAGTCAATAGTCTAAACACAGAAATCAGTGATTGTCAAGAACATGCTAGTCATCACTATCTCATGAATTAAGACAATCTTAAACCTGTTTTGGAGTGAGTTTTATTTTTTGTCTTTCTTTTTAAAATCGAAGTAGTCCCTTACTTATCTTTTAACAGCATGGTGAACTTCATTTCAGTCCATCTGCAAAAGTCCACAACAACTAACAGCACTAACTAGAATATTATTCTCTAAAGATATTTGAGTCTTATAGAGAAGAATACTCCCATAAAAGTAATACCACTCTCAATCCAACTCAAACTATTCCAAGAATGTTTGGTTTTCTAGGGTTCCTATTACTCCAGGGGAGGTTGTCCTGCCCCCCTTATAAAGATCCTCATCTTAAATCTCAAACTCATTCTTAGATTGTTCATTCCATGTTCAAGATTAAAGTATTTGCAGGCCACAAATACTTTAATCTATAATGCAAGCACCCTCCATGATGACCGCTCATTAACTAAGAAGAAATTCTCAATTTGAAATACTGGCAGGAACCTACGGAGGATATATACATGATGGAGGGAATGGACGCTTACAATGTGACCCAAATCATCGAAGTTCAGTAGGGAGTTTTTCATTTTCTTTTGTGGGTTCTGAATCAGACCTGTATTGAAGTTGCAAACTGCACCCATGAATACCACCTCAGAAAAAAAAAAAAAGAAAGAAAGAAAAAAAAAAAGTTATTTTTTCTCTTTACTTCATTCAAATGTAACAATAAATATATCTTAAAAAGTATCTTCAATTGTCCACTTTAGGGAGTATTTCATTTCAGAGCGATGGAAGGTACTCACATTATCACAGAAACCTGAGTGATGTATCTGCAATCAGAACTTAAGAAATTCAATGTGTTTGCTAGGTATGCTAAATTACATAAAATTTCTTCTCAGCAAGGAAGAAAAGCATTTATTTTAACCTTATATCCATCTGGATCCAAAGTTCATCACTAGTCACTACACCTTCAAATCCTTCTGCTGTTGGTACACTTGTGGGAGTGTGTATCAATTCACTGGTCTCCCATCCTATCACTTAAACCTCTCATATGTAAAGTATTCATTCTTAAGCTCCCCAGAGTGGTTTTTATTCAGAAAATACCATTACTTTCCCATGGAGCAGTACCTTCAAGCCCAGCAGCACTGCACTCTGTACCCTCATGCACTTCAACATGGAGTTTGATCTTGAATTTTTTGTGGAACTGCATCTGCTATGCAACTAATGTGCAAATTCAGATTGGTGGGRAAAAAAAAGCAAGGTCTCATTTGAGATTACTCAAAATGATAACAGGTGAAAAGATGGGTTAAAAAAACTCCCACAAATTCCCTTTCAGTTTCTTTCTTACTTTAAAGATCTTAAGTTTCCATAATGACATTAAAATCCTAACAAGAATGTTGCCAGAAGTTTTCAGAAAAAAAATGTTTTAGGACACCAAAAAAGACAATTGTGAAAACTGTTTAGCTTTTCCAGGAGAAACTGTGTATTTTATGGTGCTCTGAGGAACCTGCTAAAAGCTTCACAGCATCATTTTTATGCAACCTAGGGAGGAAAAATAATTCATCTTAATTTAAAATACATCCAAAAGAAGAAATGCTCTTGAAAATCAGAAGTTAAAAATCCTCAAAATCAGGCATCATCATCACACAGAAAAAAAAAAACACATTTCATGATGTTCTATGGAAGAACCTGAGCAGGCTCAAGCTGTGGGCACTTACCTCCAAACAATTTTAAAAATCTATAAATATATACATATATACACTATTTTTTTGGCCAACCAATCAACCTTCTAAATTCTGTGGTCTTTAACCAAAGGAAAATATCTAGAAAGGTGACCTCCACATGAAAGCATAAGAGCAAAAAAGCCTGAGGATGTGTTTCTCTGTGTGAAGGAGAATCTGAGCAATTTCCTCCAATCCTCATTTCCTGATAGCATGAAGTCAGAGAGAAGACCCATCACAATGTTGTACATTGAAAAAGCTGAAGAAACCCTAGGGGAAAAAATCATGATTAAGCCAGCTACTGCCAGCAAAGCTTCAAAACATGGAGAGACATCCACGATGTTAGGAGCACTTCCCATCTCAGCTTTGTCTACTCTCTCTCTCCTCCATTTTCTGGTGGAGCTAGAGAACATGACATGGCTTACCTGACTCAGATCACAGCTCTCTGCCAAACTAGTCACTTCCTCTTAGACATGCAAGCAGCTTCATGAGACAAACAGACCCCCACGGACACACACACAAAAGCAGCAGCAGAAAGCACTCAAACTTGAAGGTCTTTCTCCTTCCAAACACCAGAAAAACGAATGAAACTTTTCCTTTTTTCTCCCCAAAGGAGGGAGGTGAGGGGGGGAGAAATCCTATCAGATCAGAACTACATGAAGCTCCAGGAGGATCTCTCCATGTAGAAGATAGAAACTACAATGCTAAGAGGAGCGGAGGGGGTGAGGAGAAGGTTACTCCAGAAGACATAAAGAGCCTGTGGACTGTGTGTGTGCATGTGTGTGAGAGCGAGGAGAAGCTTTGTGTTGTGGAGCCTGGACTGGAACCAAAGCAGACAGCTTGCAAATGGAGGACAGGGAGATAAAGAAAGGGAAAGAGGGGGAGAGATAGGGAGAAAGCTGCTTCGGGTGGTGGAGAAAAGAGCAGGGGAGGAAGCTTCTTCTCCCTTGCCTGGTTTAAAGGTAGGGACATCGGGGAACCGAGCAAGAAGAACTGGGCTCCTTCCTTTCCTTTCTTCCCTCCTCGCTCTCTTTCTCTCAGAGGAGAGCAGAAGCGTGTGTAATGGCTTCTGCTCTCCAGCTGAACGCTGTCCTCCTCCAAGCAACCTCCTGCGGGCACCACCAGCCCCCCAGCCCCAAAGCCGCCGGGGACCCCCGCATCCCAACTCCAGGAGAGCCGCAGAGGGGGCACCACCGCTGGCTGAGGGACCAGCCTTGCCAGCGGCGAGGAGACGGCAGCCAGAGGGGACAGAGGAGCAGAGCAAGAGCGAGAGCGAAAGAAAGAAAAGAAAGAAGGAAAGGAAGGAAGAAAGAGGTCACCCGATTGCCTGGGTCGTGCCAGCACGGAGCTTTTCTCTCCTCCGTGTCTCTCCCGTCTCTGATCCAAGTCCACACGCACAGCACCATCCAGACCTCGCTCTCACACACACATCCACACGGGCACCCCCCACCCCGAAAGCTCGGCTGATATCTCACTTATCTCCCCATATGCCCCCCCCTTAATGCAACAACAAAAAATTAATTAACCGCCTTCCTCCTCCTCCCACTACCACCACCACCACCACCACCAGCACCTCCTCCTCTTCTCCTCCTCCATGCAAGAGACTTCTCTCTCAAACAAAACACCCCGCTCTCGCTCCCTCTTCTTTTTTTTTTTTTTTTTTTCTTCCTTTCTTTCTTCCTCCTTCCTCTGTTGGCCGAATGAATGGATTTCAGAGGAAGGTGGTGGAAAGAAAGAAAGATAGAAAAGACCAAAAAATTATAGAGATATAGATATATATGTATATATACACATGAGAGATGATCTCTCCAATGCCAAACCGGAGATGGGTTTTAATTGCGAGAACTTACAGGAGCGTCCCGGCACTGCTGCTCTGTCTGCTGCCTCCTCTCCTCTTCCTCTCTGCCTAGCTCTTCTTCTTGTTATTGTTGTGGAAGTTGTTTTGTGAGTCTCATGTGCTCCTTGCCAGGTCTCAGCAATGGAGGATCGCCATCTTTCCCTGCTTTTCCCCCCCTCTCTCTCTCCCTCTCTCTCTCTCCTTCACTGGTTTGCTGCAGCTGCAGATGACCTGAGATATCCGTCTCTCTCTCTCTCTCTCACTCACCCTCTGTGTCTCTCTCTGAATAATGAGCAACCAGAGGGAGAGAGAGAAAGAAGACAATCTCCTCTCCTACCACACAAAACGCAAGAGCACCAGGGGGTGCAAGAATCCTTTCTAACAACAACAACAACGTGTAGGGGAAGAGGAGGAAAAAGAGAAAGAAAAGAGAAGAAAAGAGAGGAGGAAAAGGCAAGAAGAAAGAGACGGAGGGAGGTGGAAGAGGAGGGGGGAAAGCAAGCAAACAAGAGAGATCCAGGAGGCAGACAGATGGAGGAGAAGATGGTAGTGATAGAGGAGGAGGTGTTGGAGATGAAGGAGATTAAGAGGAGGAAGGTGGTAACAAAAAGTTAAGGTTTGGGACACTGAATCACTCACAGGCCAGGGAGGAGGAGAAGGAGGGGGAAAAGATCTGAAGAGCTTCCCCTTCCAAGCTGTTCCTCACAAAGCTTCCTGCATAGGAGCGCTCACCAGCCTCTGCGATGCTGGGGGAGCCGCTCGGATGGAGCTCTCTGCTGGGTCATAGCTCTCTTCCAGCCATGGCAAAAACCGGTTTCTGCATGCAGATCTGCCCCTGAGGTGATCCCTCAGACACATCCATCTAGAGGCTAATCTTCCCTGAGCAGGGTAAAGAACATAAATGGAGCTGGAGGTTGCAAAGTATAAAACCAGATCTACCACGTGGTTGGTTTTTAATCCCCCTTCCAGCTTGCATTTGATGTGGAGAAAGGAGACTCAAATTGTCCATTTCTGGCACGTATTTTGAAGTCTTCTCCCGGAAATAAAGACACTGTCATCTCCAGGTTTTTTATTTCTCACAGGCATTTAGGAGAAAAGAGAGCTTGTACTACTGATCACCAGAACTGCTTCCTAGCTTGGTGAAACGTTTTTTGCTTGCAAAATAAAATAAATAATCCTACTCAAAATAACTTTCATGCCTTCCACTCCTAAGTTGCCTGCTCTTTTGTGGCTGATTATTTAAAACCGTGGAAAGAAACGATCGAGGCTCACAAAGAAAGGTGTCGTGGTGATGAAGGCAAGAAAGCAAAGACAAAGCTGCTGTAGCCTGCATTTTTATTTAGTCTCATTTCTATTAATCATTGTGCTAAGCTATCCCTCTTGCCCCCCCTCGCCCCCCTACCTCTCATTTCTTCCCCAAACACCAAGTCAGGCACTTTCTAGGATTTTTGTCTCACGTTGGAGAGTGGGCGGTGGGGGGGAGAGGCTGGAAGGGGGGGCGCGGTAAGGGGTTATGTGCAGACTCAGAAAATCAATGCACGGGAATGAGGCTAAATCAATTTGAGCACAAGGGCATGACTGGTGTTGGAACATCAGTGGGATTTCTCAAGCCCTCAAGCTCTGCAATCTGCATGGGTGGAAGAGAGACTAGAACCCCAAATCTTCGGTTCGGGTGAAAGGGAGACCCCTCTCCTGCTCGGAGAACTTGAATTTTTTTTTTTTCCCCCCTCAGTGGTGAAGCTGAGATGATCTTCTTTAAGCAGACCAGATTTTACTGGCTGTGGGAGAGGTCGGGCATGTTAGAACTTCATTGTCTGAACTCTCCCAGCTCAGCTGAAGACCAAATGCAGAAACACCAATGACTGCAATAAAATAAGAAAAATCGGTCGCCCAGGTACTAGACAAATATTAAACCCATATACTCTCCGATCTTCGCATCCCGAGGAGCGCTGTGAGTACAAAGCACACAGGCAAGATCTCTCCCATTAAAGCTTTTCTTTCTTTGAGCCGTGCAAGTTAATCACTAAACAGAAGAAAGATCTTCTCCCTCCTCCTCTCTCCTCTTTCCGCTCCCCCCTCCTCCCAACAAGTGCTGTGAGAAATGGGAGAAAGAATAATTTCTGGGCAGAAGGAGAACTGTTGGATTTAGAGAATCCTTCTTAAGGAAAAGGAAGAAAGCCTCAGAACTGGAGATTCCTACTAAGACTACTGGTTTCATGCAGACAAATGAAGCGGACACCTCCTAAGAAGCTGATAAAAGAACATTAAGGAAAAGGGAGGGACTGTCTTTACGGCTGCCAGAATGTGCATGTGTTCTGCCTGCAATTTTCTATAAATCATCCTCTTCTCAGGAAGAGAGCGCCTGGGCTTTGCAATCTTTGACATACCATCAACGCCGAGGCAGATAATTTACCTCTTTGTCTCTCAGAAATTACATCTTTTTAGATTAAAAAAAAAATAAAAGAGAGAAAGAAAGAAAAGAAAGAAAGAAAATAGAGCAACCCCACAACCACAAAACCCCAAAACACCTGACTTCTGGCAAAGCACCCTCAAGGGAAACAACAATCCCGTTTCAAAATGAAGGTTCTCGGGAGGACCAGGCATCAGACCTGAAGACAATGTATAGATGCGTGTGCGCGCAGAGCGCGGCGCGTCTCGCCGTGGGGGTGCCGGGCAGACCATTCCTCGCCCCCGTCCCCGTCCCCGCAAGGGGGGTCACGGCCGCAGAGCGGGACCCCCTGCCCGCCGGACACCCCCGCCGGGGACACGGGCGGAGCGGAGGGGCCCGGGGGGCCCTGCCCGCCGGCGCGGAGCGGCGCGGAGCGGAGCGGCGGGCTCCGGGACAGCCTCGGCGCTGGACGGCAGCGAGCSGAGCGCGGCAGGTTTAGCGCCGCCGGGGAGGTCCCCGCGCCCGTCCCGGCCCCCCTGCCCCCCCAGCCTCCCGGGCAGGTTAATCCGTAACTTCCTCCCAGAGAGTTTCTTCCATCCCCGCCGCGGCCGCGGCCGCCGGGGGAGCTGCTCGGGGGCGGCCGCGCGCGGGGGTCTCGCCGGGGGGGGGGGGTCGCGGCACCCGCCGTGCCCGCAGGGGAGAGGTTAACGCCCCCTCTTACACTCCCCCGTTGCCCCCCCGAGCCTCATTAGCCTCGCGAGTTAACAGTCCATTAAGGGCAATGGAGACASTTTGCACCTCAGCTGATGCTGGCACCTGGGTCCTGCGGGGCGCCCGGGGCACCGGCCTGGGCACCAAGGTGCTGCAGCCTCCTCCCGAGGCCACGGGCCGTGTCACATCTGGGCGTCACATCTGGGGCGCCGGGGCGGCGTCCGCCCCGCACGGACGGTGCTCGCCACAGGGTGGGCTGTGGCCACCGGAGATGGGGTAAAAAAATAGAGATAAATACATAGATAGATAGACAGATGTGTGTGTATATATATATGAACATATACATATATACATTCACACACATACATATATATACACACACGCATATACCTAAGGTATGTATATGTGTATGTGTATGTGTATGTGTATGTGTATGTATACAGTCTGCCCCATGCAGCCTGGAGCAGAGAGGTGATGTCTCCTCATGCTGGTGAGAAGGGAGAAGTTGGGATTGGGCTGGGGGGAGAGGTTGCAGCCCC